CTAGCTAAAAACTAGTGTGAGCTGCGTCGGTGTTTCTAATGAAACAGTGATGATGAAAAGGTAAATTATACACCGTGAAAAGATGAAAAAACTTACTAGTAAGTTTTTTCATCTTTTCACGGTGTATAATTTACCTTTTCATCATTACTTGTAAATCAACATGTCGTTTGGTTCTGTCATTTGTAACTTACCAGAACTCTCGTACTCATAGCTTTTTACTTCCTCTTCCAACTCTTTTGACTTAATATATCTAGCAACATTCTTCAGCACTTGCAAATCGTCCATACTGATAACCTCTTTCCTTACTAAAAAGTCCCAAAGATCGTCGACCGTTTCGACACGTTCAAGTTCTTCCTTGCTAATACCAGGAATCCCCTCAAGTAATCCCCTTAGATCCCTAATCAGGTTGTTGTTGCCATGTAGTAAACTTTGAAGAATGCTTTTAGCTCTTTTTTTAAGGATATTAAACAAAACTATTCGGTTTTTTTCCATCTTAATAATTTTGTTATGAACTGTATTTCAAGCAAGGGTAGCGGAAGTCATTATCATAATATGTATGTAGGGGGTACTCTTCCAAGAAACTACAACACAGGAAGCCCAAGGGCATAAAATTTAAACTATCGAACACGCCAAACTTGTATCGTTAGCTATACTACTTTTACCCTTCTAGCTAGAGAACAAATACTAAATTTTTGAAACAAGATCATGCATTTAGCACTGCTTTGTACTAAATAGCATTGACAAAAGAAAAGAAAACAATACATTTTGCACTGCATTATTGCGATTTACTATTAGTAGTGTGTCAGCACTGAATTTAAGAGGTATTTTCTGAGTTTGATGAACGTGGTGCATTATGGTCTAGCTTGTATACAAACAACACGACAAAAAAAAAACAAAACAATACAAAACCATTTTAAGGATTAGAGCCAAAGTTTCATTTTCCATATTAAGATCTGCATTATTATGCCTAGAGAGGTTCAAGAACACTTACAGTGAAGACACTCGAACCATGAACACTTGACTTTATTCAGATTTTTATTTTCTCAGCTTTTTACTGCTTCAAACCCTCTAAAAAAGTAGGATTGAACTCAAATATGCTACGTGATCAGAAGACAACTTATTTCTAAATGATTCACTCCAGAGATGCATGTTAAAAAAAGGAGTAAAAAATGTAGCAAAAAGGCACAAAGTGTTCATGGTTAGAGTGTCCTCACTGTAAGAAAACTTTTTCCAATATTAAAAAAATAGATTTAGATGTAGACCGCGGTTGGAGCCATCTGTTAAATAACTTAATACAAATTAGACGCATTTTTCATAAGCTTTTATTATTAACGTTTAGTATATATATTCTTGATCCGATTTATTTTATCTATTTATTGCATGATTTTTTCATATCTTTTTTCATATCTTTTTTTAATAACGGTTGTATATATATATATATCTACATATACATTTTAGATATAGTTTCTTCTATATTTATATTCCTATTGAGACTTGAGTTTTTAAAAATAAAGAACTTTGATTTAAATTTTAAAATACAATCAACACGTATAAGGCATAATGAACAAAAGACACCAGTTTTTCTCGAAGCCTTATAGACTACGATGCACCATGTTTGTTCGTAATCTCACTTGAGAACAAGTTGATCTATGGTCTATTCATTTCTGAAACACTAGAGCTAGATATACTTAAACAAACAAATCTATATCGTCTCTGTGCAAGAGTATGTGTAATCTCAAGCTCTTCCCACACACTCCGCCTCAGTCCTCACTATTCACTAGCATTCTACGATAAAGTCCAATTCAGTGAGTTTCAGTAGAATATGTACAAAAACATGAAAACTATTCACTGAATTCCTAAAGCAACTTATAGACGTTATCTAAGTTCCTTTTCGCTCGTAGCTGTCCTTTCTTGTCACCAATCCTTATAGTGATACGCAGGTGGTTTTTGTGATGTCTCACAGCGTCATGGTACCTTTCCAACAAACAGCACACATTCCCAAGATTCTCAAGGGCATGTCCTTGTGCTTTGATGTTACCATTCTTTTCAGCAATATTCAGGTGCTTCTTGTAGAACCCCAAAGCTTCAGAATACTTCCCAAGACACTTGTGAACATTTCCTAAGTTATCGTACGCACATGCTTGCGCAACATCGCATTCCTCGTTCTTGGCAATTTCTAAGCTTTTCTCGTGGCATATTATTGCATCCTCGTATTTTTTCATGCATTGATACAACACTCCTAAATATCCATACAGTTCTTCCTCAGTCTCTTTGTCACACATCTCTTTGACGATTTCTAAACCTGTGGTATAATATAACACGGCTTCTTCGTACTTGCCAGCTTTTTGGTGAAGGCTTCCCAGTTTCTTCACAATTCTCCTTTGGCCCACTTTGTCTCCTATCTCTTCATACATACGTAAGGCATCTTTATAACACGCAATCGCCTCGGGGAGGTTTGTTATTGCTTCATGGGCAACACCCAAGTCTTCATACACTTCTCCGTTCATCTTTTCATCGATCTTGTTATTGTTTTGCTTGACGATGCTCAGGTACATCTTGCGGTGTTTAATGGCTTCGTCGTATTTTCCATATGATTGGTTAGCGTTGGCTAATTCACGATAAGCGTTCTCTTTCCCTTCTTCGTCTCGAATCTGTTTCGCGATTTTCATCTGTTTTTGATGATAATCAATGGCTTCCAAGTATTTCCCAAGAGATTGACAAGCAATTCCTAAGTTTCTATACGCTTCTTCTTCGCTCTTCTTGTCCAGGTGTTTTGCAGCGATGCTCGATGTTCCCATGGCGTTGGTATCGGCTTCGTACGGTGTAGCATCTCCATTACTGCTGTCCTTTCTATCAACGATTTGTTTTGCGATGCTAAGATGTTTTTTATGGTATTTAAAAGCTATCTTGTATCTTCCCAGATGCTGATGAGCCACTCCTATGTTCTGATATGCCGTGGCTTCTTTCCTCATGTCTCCGCTTACCAGCTTCAGAAACATCTTGTAATACTGAATAGTCTCTCTAAAATTTCCACTCGATTGACAAGCAGCTCCCAGGTTTGCGCATGCGCGGCTTTCAGCCTTCTTATCTCTAATCTCTCTAGCCAGTTCCAGCTCTTTTTCAAAGTTTTTTATGGCCTCGTCATGGTTACCAAGCGCATGATATGCCAGCCCTATGTTTCCATATGCGTTCGTCTTGCTCCTCTTGTCACCTACCTCTTCAGCTATGGCTAGAGACGTCTTGTAATAGTCAATGGCGTTGCTATATCTTTCTGCTGAAGATGACGAAGATGTTTCTTCTAGAGGTTTTCCTTTTCTTTTGTTCCTTTCCTTCTTGTTGTTTTCCTTCACAATGGACGTAGAACTGGAGTTGTTTTGTTTAGCCAGCAAATAAGTCGCACTTCCCAAGCATGCATAGGCACGTCCTTCATCTTTCTTGCTCTCTTTCTCCTTACATACAGCAAGGAACATCTCGTAGTACTTCAAGGCTTCCTTATATCTTCCAAGTGACCGATACGAGTTCCCCAAGTTCTCGTAGGCAGACCCCTCTGAGTCTTCATCATTCTCTTTAACAGCAATTCTTAAGCTCTCCCCGTGATACAGAATAGCACGATTATATTCCCCCAACGACTGGAAAGCATTTCCTAAGTTTTCGTACAACTCTCTTTCACGTTTTGTATCGTATCTTTTCTTTACGACTCTTAATACTTTTTTATAATAGTTAATCGCTTCTTTGTACTTGCCTATCTTCTGGCAAAGGCTTCCCAAGTTCTTGTTCATTCTTTCCTGGCCATACTCCTCTCTTATTCCCTTGTAAATACATAGCGCCCCTTCGTAAGACCCAGTTGCTTCGTCGTACTTTCTCATTTTCTGGTAAGCAAAACCCAAGTCTTCGTAAATCTTCCCTTCCATCTCTTTATTAGCATTTCGCACTGCAGTGCTTAAGCACATCTTGTGATATTTAACAGCCTCGTTGTATTTACCCGACAATTGATATGCGTTGGCTAAACTACTAATGGCTCGTTCTTTACTTCTTCTATCTTTCATTTCTATTGCAATAGTCAGTTGGACTTTGAAATAATCAATGCCCTTTTTGTATTTTTCCATTTCTATGTTTACAGCTCCTAGATTACCAAGGTCTTTTCCTTTGCCTCTATTGTCGCTCACTTCTATGGCAGTAATCAAACACTTTTCGTAGTTTTCAACGGCTTCTTCATACTTTCCTAACGATCTATAAATCGTACCTAAGTTTCTGTAGGCAGTTTTCTCCATCATTTTATCCCCCTTTTCCAAAGCTATTGTGACTTGTTTTTCGTGATATTTGATGTTAGCCTCATGATATTTGCTTAAAGTTATCGCTGTCCCGTTTTGGCCTGAATCATTGGTTTCATTACATTCTTCTGCGTTGCTTTTTAGATCGTTTTCCATTTTTCACTTGAGAAGCTTTATCGAATTTGGAAAAATTAAAGTTGAGTTTGTTTTATTTTATTTTCTTGATTTCTTCTGTTTTCTGTTAAAAAATAAAAGTGGAAAAAAAAAAGAATTACATGGGATGTTGAATACGTATGCTTAGCTGTTCATATTTTTACTTCCAGGTTTCGAAGTCGTTATAGATTTACCCTTACAAGTTTAAATATATTCTAAATATTTCCTTTCTTAATTTGATTATTTCTTTTAATTACCGCGTGTCATCTACAAAAAACGGAAAATACCATGATGAAAAATTTGGTACCAAACATTTTCATACTTGATACTTGATAGTGTCCGCGTCTTTGTATGCAACGCAATACTTTATATCAGGCAGACAGTACGCTTGACCCCGTATGTAAGATAGAATAAAGTATAAATACGCAAGAAAGGAGAACACTCTAGAATAAGGTCAAGAACGACAGGGATTGTTGCTAAGTAGCCAAAACAAACTTGCATCTGTTGGCAACCTGGCGACTCCCTCAAAAAACTATCAAAATTGAAGACGCGAACTCTTGCCTTCTAAACCCTGAGAAATCTTTCTCAACTTGAATAAAGCAAATGTATTTGCCTTGTTTGCAGCTGTCTTTTGATAGGACAGAAGACCTGTACAAACCACAACTAATTACCCATTAATAATAACTTAAAATGAGCCACTGAACGTAGAAAATAAGTAACGTTACTCGATCAAAAGTTACAGCGATTGCCTAAAAGCAGACACATATTTCAGTGCGAATTTAGTAAAATGTTTATCGTAAGAAACAAAATACGCAAACAGGTAAAGGATAATCGTTACGGGATTCACGATCTGGAAAAGAGGCTGTACTACACTAACACACAACAGTAATGGTTTCGAGTTTACATTATTTCTCTGATCAATGTGGACGTTTGCCAGTCGTTAATTTCCACTTTCGGCCGGTCTAAGTCCTAAAATGACTTGCTAAGCTCTTAATTAAGTCATAGCAGCCAATGATTGTTCCAATATTTACCTTTTACCTCTTGGTTTTACATCTTTTGAAGTCAATTATTTGCGGAGAAGACTCTTTGTTCGCGTATCCTTGGAAAAGGAGTATCCAATTACTTACGGAAGTGCTACGTACTGATCAGGATGAGTTTCATTTTGACCTTTCGGCGTATCCTATCACAACTTAGGTAAAATAGTAGTGAAGAAGAGAGAAAAGCAGAGCAGAACATATAGCAAGGCAATGCAAACAATGGAAAGCAAGGAGTATAGCGGAGGAGAGGAGAGGAGAGGAGAGATGAATTAACAAAGATGTTGTAAAACCTGGTCGTCACTAGCACATAAGCACAAGCATGAACGTAAGAGTATTCATACACTGGGAAATTCAGTGACATAAGCATAAGCTTAGGCATGAGGAGAATAAATATTTATCCTTATGCTTATGTCGCTAGTTAGGACCAGACTTTTAAAAAACACGACCATACTATGGAAAAAATTACAAATAAACAAACGAATTTATTGAATATTAAAAATCTATCCTGTACATATATCACTAGTCCCAGACTGAATCATTGTCCAGTAATTCATCAAGCCTCTTCACTCCACCAGAAAGCATTTCCTTTTCTTGTCGAGTCAATTCTCTTCTTTGTGGTGGACTGTTACTAAGTTTTCTCTTTCGCCTACTCGATGATACTGTTGTAGCAGTAGGATTTGATTTCTTTGATACTCTAGGTACAGTGTTAGTGAATCCTATAGGAGTTTTGTGAAATATCCGAGAGCGACTGTCCATTGATGAAGATCTTGGTGTGAAGACTGATTTAGAGGAATGCAATTCTTGATCTGTAAAAATGAGAGCAAAAAATTTGTCGTAAAGTCTCAACTATAGAAAAGGAAAAGGTGAAAAGAAAGATACAAAAGTAAAAGCACTTTCTCGCACGAAAGCGTTGTGCCAGGGATCGAACATTTTGGCCCACACTGTTTTGCGCGCTTAGCGCTGTCGCTTGAAAACGACGAATTTGGTCACTTAATAAGCTGTTATATCATTTACCGTCTTGGACTAAGTCCAGTAACGTGGATTTGTTTGTTTTCTTGGTTGAACTTTTCTTGGTTGTTTGGGGGTTGATCTTTTTTGAGATCCATGACAAGACATCGGTTACAGGAGTGTTAATCTCACTCTCTGAGCCACTAGTAAACATGTCATGATGTGAAGCCGGGACACTCAAACCTGTGGAAAAGTAAAAAAAAAAAAAGAAAGAAAGAAAGAAAATTTATAGCCTGAGGCTGCTCAAGGCCTTGTTAAAAGATGGGGTCCAGATGCTGAATTATATTACAATACATTATAAGAAAACTAAAGCCATCTAAATTAATTTTATTGTCTTTTTATTCTTACCATTTTGTGAAGCTTTGCCATTTTCCTCGCATACTTTTCGTTCCTTTTTACGTTTTTTCTTGGGTATTTCGTCCCTGTCTTCTTTCTCTTTATTCGTATCATTCTTTTCATTCTTTTCTCTTCGTTTTATTTCCTTCTTCGTTTTGTCACGAGTTTTCCCTTCCTCTTTTCCTGTTTCATCTAAAGATTTTAAAACAGGTCTATCAACTTGTTTAACCGGTTTGTTAGCTGCTTCAAATTCTTCTTCCCGACTTATCTTTTTAGTTTGACTAGATTTCTTTGTTACATCTTTTTCACGAATATCAACCTTTTCATCTTCTACAGCCTTGTCTCCACGCTTCTTTTTATCTTTTTTTCGCTTCTTTCCATCAGAATTCTCTTCCTCATCGACGCAAAGAATCGTTGATTCACGAGAATCAAATGAAGAAATTTTCGTTTCTTTATCAACATTTCTTTCGTTCTTTTTGCGTTTTTCTTTTCCTTCGCTTACTTCTTCTGCAGAAACCACTGTTTTATTCCTTTCCTTTTTCTTTTTCTTCTTGGATTTCTTTTCAAAGGCATTTTCCTCAGACGTCGTCACAGTGCTCTGACTACAACTTTGCACTAAGTCATCAACAGCATGAATGACATGTTGTGATCCACCAGGCAAAGTTTCCTGGGGGAAATCCTTGTTTTTAGAGTTGCTCTTCTTGTGAAGTTTGGGTGACGTTACTTTCTTTTCAGAATTGGAAATAACACCAATTGGTAAACTTACCAAAGATGTTTGAATCGGAAGTTCCGTGTTTGCTGCTGTTTCTTTGCGTGGAGAACTTGCAGTACTTTCTGGAATGAAAGTTTGTATGTTTGGAAGCTTTCCAGAATTTTCTTGAATGGAATTTTCTTGAGTAAATACTTTCTTATTGGTAGAGTTTTTTGATTGTTTCTCATTTAGCTGTTTGTAATTAACATTATTATTAACATCTTTTCTTTTACTCCCTTTGGTCTTTTCGGAAGTTACTGCAGCTAACTTTTCTTTCAAACTGTTTCTTTTATCTCTTTTCTTTCCTTCCTTGCTCATCGACTGTTCGCTCTCCTCTTCAGCTTTGTTATCATCAGAATATACTGTATCCCGTATTCTCCTCTGTTTAGATATTTTATCCTTCTGGGAATGGTTCTCACAACTTGAGGTATAGTTCATCCCACTTTCGCTCAAAAATGACCCATCAATACTGTTTGTTACCTTGGTTTCTCCAGTTTCTCGACTTTTCTTTTTCTTTTTCTTGGGTGAAGACAAACCAGCTTCTTCTGCTATTGGATGTTTCTTTTGTACAGTTGAGAAGTCTTCTGTAGTTTCAGCGTCTTCAATATTTTGCTGTTCGGTTGCCTTTTTCTTTCCGTAGCTTTTTTCTACTGTTTCTTCACAAATTATCTGCTCATTTTCTAACTGTGAAATAATACCATCTTCTAAGATTTTCTCCACCGATGTTTGGCTTTTCTTGACCACTTGTGAATCCTGATTTTTATCTTCTGTTTCATTAGTCGTGGCACCTTCAACATTGGGAGGCAATTTAAGTTTCTTTGGCGGGGAATGATGCTCACCGCGTGCTGTAAAAAAAGCAAAGAAACGTTATATTATGTATAGTAAGCTTGATAAGATGGGTTGTCAATAAATGTCAAAATGCTAGAAAAATTCCCTTTGAATCTTTGGTTTTCGTTCTGAAGCCATCGGCTTGCCTGATCAAATGGCGGTCCCAATATTTCATTTCATTTGCTCGACCTTTTCTTTTAAAAATTGCACCTTTTCTGCCTTGCTTCTGAGAAGATCGCATAACCTCCAGCAGATATGACAGAAATTGGTTATAATTTCCATAATGAGAGAGATACCTTGTTCTGCGCTTTCCAATATTTCTGTTGAGAAGCAGCTCTCTTCATCTCCTTTTTCATTCCCAGCATGTTCTAGTGGCTCGTTTGCGTTGCTAGGTAACGTTTCATTCGTGTATGACGTCAGGTGCTTTAGTTTAGGACTGGCGGGAAAGAGTTCCTCAGATCCCGAGGATCCTGTAACATAAAACATTGCCATAACTCAAAGAGCTTTCTTCAGTGTATGACTTTAGTGTCTTCATTCTCCCCATCCCCTACCCCCAGGAATTTTTCACCGACTGTTGATACACTACCCCTACCCCCCAAATTAGATTCTTGTTGTTTTAAATTTTAGTTTTTCTATAGAAAATGGTCCACACCTCATCAATAACACAATCATTCAAATTATCAAATCTATGCATATTGTCTTTACCAATCCCTTAAAAAAAGGAGTGTAGTTTTACAGCCCTCTACTTCTTATTGTTCTAGGAAGCAACCTAAAAACAACTCTATTTTGACCCTATGTCTACACATACTTGTCTTAACCTTTACCCTCACAAACACAACTATGACAGTGTGGTTCTGTCGCCCTTTTGTACATTGCTGTTGTCTCATGACATTCCTAACATAATGATCATTAAACAGCCAATATTTTCAGTGCAGCCATTGAGTAAGATAAGATGAAGGAAAGCACAGGTGGGGAAAGCATGGGTGGCGTGCGCTGCCAATGCACTGACTCTCACCAATTTAGACCCTCAGGTTTTTCCTTCCTTCACAAAAACCAACTTCTAAATTCTAATTAGATCTATCTGCTGCCATTGCAAAATCTGTTAGGCATTACGCCATCCACCCAGGAGGGGTAAACGCATTATAGTACAGTACAGTACCAATGATTTCTTGGCTACCATGACAACATTCCTCTTCATTTGTGTCTTGACAACCAGCCACACACACTACTGCAGTACTTGGCTCTTCTTCAGTTCTTTCTGCTGCATTAGTTTCAATGGCAGTCGCCACTTCAGGTGGAACACTTCGTGGTTGACTAGCACTACAACTAGTCTTAAGTCCTTCAACTGTTGGCTGTGTAAGATTGAGCTTAGGAATAACAACTTTACAAGAGCTCATGTAAGTTTCTTTAATGAGCCCTCCGCTGGTACTTGCATCGCTGGGGTCACTATCAAAGTACAGCACTCTGTCTTGCAGCACATCGATAATAGGATATTTTCTGCCCATATCTTCATGGTAAACTTCAGGAGTAGAAGTGATATCGTTATCATTGATGTCCAGGGAATCTATCACACAGTGATTGGCAGGAGTTTCTTCTGGTTCATCCAAGAGTTTGGTACTCATTCTTTGGATTGAATGGGTCTCATCATCTATGTCTTGATCACTATTTACCAGCCATGTTGCCACTTTAGTAACACTCTTCTCAATAGCCTGTTTGCGCCTTTGACTAAAACATCCTGTTGATTCTAACATTTCTTTAAAAGCCTGCGACTTTAATACTATTTCAGATACAATACTGCTATGCTGAGAGGCAGTGGAGGCACTTTCCCTGGATCTGTGTCTCTGATCTTCATCAGCCAGGCTCTCATCTATTGACTGGGTTCTTGATTGCTTTCGCTTTCTTCTACCGATCTTCTCTTGTACTGTTGGAGTTTTCTCAATCCTTTGCCTGTTACTACTGGTAGGTGGCGATTTCATTTGTGTACTAAAAACTCTTTTTCTGGTAGTCTTATCTGTTGGTCTTGACATTTCCTTTTGATTACAATTAACTCTTATATGCCAATTTTCCTCTTGGGATTGTGAAATAAAATTTTCCACTTGGAAAACTGTTCTCTTTCTTCCACTTTTACTTATGCTATCTTTGTCTTCATTTTCTTGACACTGCATCATATCTTCCTCATTGCTGTTCAGTGGCGTTTCATGATTATGTTCTTTCATCAATCTTTCTGGGCTCCTGCCTTCACTGCTTTTATCTTCAGCCTCTTTACACTGTTCCATACTTTCCTGTTCATCAATATTATCTGTAGTTTCTAAGTTCTGTTCAGTGCTGTTTTCTCCATCTTTATTTGATATGCTCTCTATATTCTCTGTTTGGTTTCTAGATTTCTCTTTCCTGCATTCAAAAGTGTCATGATTATCATCAAAACTATTTACAGTTTTCTTTTCTTTCCTGCTATTTGCACATTCTTGTTCTGCATTGCCACTTGAAGCAAGCTCAACATTCTGTGTTTTTAGCAAAGTTTTTTCTTTTCTAGTATTATTTGTTTTATCAATATCTTCTTTTTCATTTCTCTTACTTGAACATTCCTGCTCATTTTCACAGCATTCAGCTAAATCTTCAGTTTCCTTGATACTATTTCCTTGCACAACAGCCTTGGAAATATCTGTCAAGTCACTTTTATTTTGAGTTGGTTTTTGACTTCCTGAATACTGTGGAGAATGTTGTGAAGTGGTTTTCAGCATTTCTGCATTTTCTTCAACGAGAATAGAGTCTGCATGGTTTAATACATGACCTGCAATGACAAAAAAGAATAGTGAGTGTGAAAATAATGAGACATCTGTCTCAACAGGCTTTCCCATGCAAAAGGTTTTGATAACTTACCAGCTGAATATGCTAGAATACTATCTCCTTCCTTAAGAAGACGACCAACTTTGTATATGTCTGGTAACTCATGATTATCGCAGCTTTGCACAGATATTATTTCTCTGCAAAATGGAAAAATGATATCTAAATAAGTTCAAAAACACTGCTGAAAAAAGAATAAAATATCTCTTGCAGAAGAATGGTTTTCAAATATATATTTTTACAGCACAAAGTAAACATTTGTTTTGCTTCCAAATTTATAGCACCAAGCACTGAAAGTGCAAGTTTGCATATCTGACAAGTTGGTAAAAAATATTTTTTAAATTTTAATTCTGTTTGGTCATGTTTTATATAGACTTAACCATTTCCTGCGAAAAAGGCAGTCTCTTAGGTACGTACAGGTCTGAATATTCATCATAAAATTATTTACGAGGATCGTCTAAGCAAAACAGCTGAACCACGCTTGCACAGAGTAAACACGTCTAATAAACGCAAACCTTGATGATTATTGACAAAATTCTTCCTTAAACGTCAACCCAGGAAGCTGATAAATACAAAACAACAAGAGAAAAACGCCTCTGGCAAGCAAGGGATAGTCGTAGATGAAAAAAGCAATATATAATGTTACATACCCCAGATCAGCAGACGACAACAATAATCTAGAAACTTTAGTAATCTCTGTCTTTAAATCTGCGATCGAACTTTCCTTCGCTATTACGAGCTGTATCGATAAACAACACGTGAAATAAAATGCTTATGAGGTACTTTTAACTGCTAAGCAAGGTTATACTTACCATAAACCTGTGGATTTTATTTAAAGTGACTTTTAAGACAACGTCTTGATCTTTAGCAGCCATGTTGTTCGTCTGCACGTGGATAGTGAATCTGACAAGTAGGGGATTAACCGCTGACCCAAGGAACTTCCTTCCCTCCCACTTTTCGTTCATTCCTTCCTTCCTTTCTTTCTTCTTTTCCTTTCTTCTTTCCTTCATCCCCTCCATCCTTCAACTAGTACCTTTATTCCTTCTTTTAGTTCTTTGGTTCATTCAGTTTTCAAATAAATCGATTGTATTCCATTCATAGTCTAACAAAAACTGGGTCGCTAAAATACTAAGGGTTTGGGAACTAGCAGTGACTGCATTCAAAAAAAATTAAATTAAATTGGCAGTTTTAGTTCCACTCGTTCCTCTCTTATCTTCGTTCTCATATTACGCTATTTTCCCAGAATTTTCCAACACATTTATTGCAAACTTTTCTTGTCGCTCAACGTTTCGCCGACATCATATACTTCTAGTGAGATGCAATATATATAAGAGGTCGTCCATTTGACTATAATACACTTTTTAGTTTTCATAAACCCATCCCACATGGAAAGGAATGAGTATGCGTTCAAAACCATCAGCTTCACAACCAAGATTTTTGATTATGGTGGTCATAGCAAGGGGTTAATCATCTACGGTCTAGGGGCCGACTAACTTCTCCCTTAGGCTTCGGCCGAGCTTCCTGATCAGTCTGTAAATCTCTGGATAGCGGTGTCGGAGTCGAAATCTCCGGCTTAGCCGTAAATGCTTCGCGCTGCCATACGACGGTTCAGCACTCGATGTCTGGAAGTATGGTCCTTTTTTAATGAATCAAAAGGTAAAAAACCCAAAATCATGTTTCCATAGCAGATAACCTTTGAAATAATCCCAAATGGAAATGAGTGAGTAGTATGCCGGTTCAAAGCCGGCACAATCAAGACTTTTGAGTTTTCTGGTCAACAGAAACAGAACAAATAATGGGAAAATGAGTGATCAAGGAGACGACAATCGATCTATTTAATCAATTATTAATGATTTTTCACTGCTGATTACACAACCACTCATTTATTGGTTGTCAAGAAAAGGTACAAGCACTCTGTTACTATTCTTAATTCAAATTCTATTACATAGTTGGTATAAAAATACTTATAGAAATAACAAAATACAGATTTATAAATTTATTATATATGCAAGAATTTTAAGCTCTCTTGGTGGGACTGGTTTGCTGTTCTGCTCTCTTCAACCTCTTTTTCAATTCCATAGGCATTTTCTCGTAACATTTCTTGCAGAGCGGCTGATTGTCAAACTCGTGAAATTTACTCCTAGAAAAAAAATGTTAACCCAGAAAGAGTTTAATCAATGTTTAAACAAGACTTATGTTACACTATGCTTTAAGCGTCATGCGTAAAGGATTATGGGATATTATGGGGCACTGTGTTCAACGTATAGCTTTATCGCGGTAAGTTAAGGTGATCGTTGAGCAAAAGATGGTTCATGTGCTTGGCGCTTAACGCAATAGATAGCAGGAAGCATCAATCCTTGAAAGTAAAACTGGTCCATCGCATGTTAATCCCCGTCCACCCACAGACTATTACCGCGATTGAGAAGATCAGCAATACTTACTTTAAAGTGAGCGGTATGCTGCACCCAATGCAGGTAAAATGCTGCACACACCAGCACTTGTTCAGGGCATTCACAACTGAAAAGAATTATTAACGAACCATCAGTACTCGCTACGACAGTATAAATAATAATAAATCATAATAATAATGATAATTGATAAATAATATTAATAAATAGTGAATCGACTTTATTGAGATTGACACTTGACAGTTGCAACTAAGCACCGATAAACTTTTACCCTCTATGTCTAACGTCTATAAATGGGACGTGAAGGCCATTCTACATGGTTATTCTACCCAGTATAGCAACTACCGCCGTGAAATAGTGATTTGATCAATGTATTTGAATTAGTTTAGAGAAACATCACGACGCACGGCACGGTACAGAACTGTTGAAAATTATGAAAGAAAGGTGCGTGCGCAATTGATGTCCATCCAGTTAAAAATGTTTGGATCTAAAGCCCTAGAGTTCGGCTGGTGCGTCTGCAAAGTTCATGTTACTATAGTTTACATAAATTATATCAATCAAATAGTTCTTTACTCACCATCACCACTGATAGCTTTGTTGCATTCAAAACAGATGTCACCGTACAACTGGAGGAAAAGATGAACACGATCACTATTTGTATTGACATTGTTGTTATCCTAGAACTCGGGACTAAGTTATATCCTTGCATTTGTTTTTCCTGTCATCTCCGGTGTTTATCAATGTGTTCAGTCAAAGAAGGATTAATTAAGTATTTTGTTTTTAGTACAAACCTCATTGAAGTGTGTTTCACAGTACGCCAGACCTTTGCGCTCGTAGTAACGGTGACCATAGAATGGTTTTTCGCATTTTGCGCACACGAAATGCTAAAGGAAAACAAGGAATGAATACGTTAAAAGTTTTGAAAGAAAATAAAGAAGAAAGAAACAAAGAAGAAAGGAAGGAAGAAAAGAAAGAGGAAGGAAAGAGAGAACAGCAGGAAAGGATGAAGTATATAAAAAATAAAAGGAAAGGAAGGAACAATAAAGAAAGAAAAGAACGTGTGAAGAAATCAAATAACAAACAAAGGTTGTAATGTTTTCTTTACCTCGACATGCCAGGCTTTTCCAAGAGCATGAACCACACGATCTTCAACAGGACGTCTGTTCAGTACAAATGGGAGTTTAGATGTCTATATGTATTTATTGAATGGCTGAAGGGTTGTCACCAGGACGTACCTGCATGCTCCACAAATAGGCGTTCCCATCATGTCATGGCAACGAAGGCAGTACAATTCAGTATCTTTCTTACGGCAAAGATGATCAAGTTCCTTGCTGTCAATACCAAACAGACCATGACAGTTATAAATCATTCACTTAATGGGATGTTTAACAAGAGGATACAAGTTTTTATCAAGGACACTGGAAAAGGGGAAATGGAAATTGAAAGGAAGTAGAAAGGAAGGAAGAGAGAAGTGTTTTTTTTTTTGTTTTTTGTTTTTGAAAACTGGATCCCTTTTTAAGGGCATGCAACATAAGCAAGACTTAAAAATGGAAAGCTGTAGAAGCCGAGACTTTGGGATTAAGAGAAAGGCAGTAGATGAAAAGTTACACTTACCCACAACAGAAGCAGTTGTAATGCCAAGGATGAACAGGCTCCCCCATGTACATTATATGTTCTCCCTCGGGGATATAAGTGCTGACAAAATGAAATCATTGTCATTAGAAATATATAGAGTAAAATATATAACCTTTAAATTTAGGAATACTAGACTGCAAGCAATTCCTTTCTTCTTGTTCATTGTTTGATGTTTGCTTGGGTTCCTTTTGTGAAGCAAGAAATAGTAGCCAGTCGAATACTCCTAACATCCCTCACCAAGGCATAGACTACTATTAGACTACTATTCCTCACTTGGCAGAATGAACCAAAGTAAATATCAAATGGTGGTAAAGACTACTTTTAGTTTATGACTTACTGGCATTTCCTGCACACATACCGACCAGTTTCTAAAAGCAAACAATACTTTATAAGTTTCTGATGATTAGATGAGGTCTTCTTACAATGAATCAATACTTACTCTTAGTCTTCTCATCAGCATTACACTTCTTGCACAATGCCCTATAAGAGAATCATCTATTTAATCAGGAAATATAGGCCTTTATTTCAACAAAGAATGACCAATGTTAGAACTTCTTTCTTCAATACAAACTGACCTTCCGGCATTCTTTACAAAACCAGAGTCAGCAAGACCAGCACCACATATTTCACATAGAAAACAATTTGGATGCCAATTGGCTTGCATGGCCTTGATCACACGACCAATCACAAACTTACCTATAAAACAATTTAGTATTAGTATATAGTTTGCAACAAAATAAAATAAAACTACAGTACATTTCAAATTTAACATATACTTACGGCACTGCTTGCAGCATGGGGCAAAGAGGGTCTGAAAATCATGCTCACAGAAACGTCTTCCATCATACTAATAACAAAAATTAATAATATAATATTAACAAAATGAAGTTGAACATATTTCTTATTTACCAAGCAAAGAACATGAGCTAAAATAATCACAAGTGAGTAACGTTACCTCATAGAATAAACCATCAGGAAATGGCTGAAAACACTGAACACAACTGTATAAGAAGAGATGAAAATCACTTAGATTAGTGGAAAAATGACTGACCGTAGGGCTCTCCCCTAGTGGGTTTGTACCTCAAGAGGATAAGGTGTGGTGAATGCTTGAAATTCCTTTACTTATACAGACACCAAAACATATGACAAACTTTAGTTTTTCTTTGGCTTAAGACAGAAAAATTATTGAATGATTTAATGACCTAAGAACATTAGAAGTTCATTCATCTTATTCATATGTTACAAATCATTATGATGAATAAATTTATTAAGATATTAATAAACTTGTATATGTGACTTGATGTACATCTACTAGTTCATAAAAGAGAAGATACGATTTATTTTCTCTCTCTTGAGATGTAAATCTAAACATATATACATCGAATGAGGGATAGAAATGCGTAATATGTAGGGTTTCACACTAATTATTAGCGAAGTAAAACTTTTATTATTATTCCCATCAGATCAAATAGACAATACATTACTTCTTTACCAATAACGCATTGTAAACCTAAAGAAAGGTTTAAAAAGCCATTTATTGCCCTAAATATTTTATATTATGAGCACTCATATACTTTTAGAGGATAAAGGAAAGTTCAAGGAAGGAAGAAGATGTTCTAAAATCAAGAGAGAAGTCATACAAGTTTACTCACACGAAGCATCTTTCGTGAAGGATTTGTCCATTTGAGTTGACCATTCGCTCGTCTACGCCAAATCCTTCATGACAAACAGCACAAATCGCTGTACTAAGGCCAATATTTGACCGTCCCGACATTATTTCTTGGACAGGCATCGAGCAAGCGAGAAGAAGCGAACAGATTTGAAGACAAACTGAGTCAACAAACGACTTCGTCCAAAGTAATTCTTCCTTACCTCAGACTACCACAGGAACCCCAATTTCAGCTGATCACAGATGACTAGTCGACCGTGCCCACTATCGTCCGGTCGATATGCAAGGGTTAATGTATTTGGGAAATAGTCGTGTAAAATATGAGATGAGTGTGAATCCAGGGGGGTGCATGATGTGGCAATATTTGTCCCACGGAGTCAGTACGTACTTGCCACGCACCTATCTACTTTACCTTCTCAGAAAATTTAACCCACGTACTGACAATTATTTGCACCGCATATAATCACCCATAACTTTGACGGTGCGCAATCAGTAAAGAACCCGCCGAAGATTAAAATAAGGCCAAAAATTATAGGAAAAGTTATTACTGGAAAAAAGCTGAACCAAATCTTTAGATGAGATCATAGCCTATCCCCACGCACTCCTAGTGGTGACAGAGGAAGCAAGCGCGCTAAAAATGAATGAACAAAATTCGATCAATATTTACTTTTTCAACTCTTTGTTCAAACCATTCGCTTCCCACGTCTGGGCTTAATCAGTTCGTGTGAGTGGGGAAAAATCCCGTAGCCGTACCGTTTCGACTTACCGTACCCGTAACTACGCATAGTCATTTCTATGTTACGGCATGTCATTGTACTGTACGCGCTGTACCGTAGTCAGTACCGTATGTTTCTCCCTCACACGAAAGCTCAAGTTTTTAAGAGAATTTTTGTTTGGTCACGCACGAAGAAACATGCTACACGCTTCGCGAAATGCGTCGTGTGACACCTGTCAGGTTTTCCCAGCAAGATACTGTTGACCCCATGCAAAGTTACCTCCCTTTATTGGAAAATCATCATCGATATTCAAGACTAAAAGAAAACGCGAACAATTTCTGAAACATTCGCACAAGCAGTGCAACACTTTATCTATTTGGCATATAATTACTATAAAATTACATATTTGAATATCATAAGAACATCATTTCATCGATCGCTCCAGCCAGCTGGATCAAAGCCTTAAAATTATGATAAAAATTATGAATTTTCTTGCATGATCAAAATTGGTAGATAATCAAGATTGACAAATGTTTTATGGTATAAATTTGCGTATGTTCAGTTTAAATATATTGCGTTGACTTTTGTTCCGGTTTAGCATAGTTAATATTAACTATGGGTTTAGAAAAACATTGGATTGGTAGGCTTAGCCATGTTTTCTTTGAAAGAAGTTGAGTGTGTCTTGCAGTGTTTGGTAAGGTGATCACTTCGCATAAACCTCTTGCTACATATCTTACACACGTATCTTTTTTCGCCAGTATGAGTCCTGTAGTGGCGCGCAAGCTCATCCGATCGGGCAAATTTCTTTTCGCATCGAATCCAAGTGCATTGGAAAGGTCTTTCTCCAGTGTGGGTTCGAAGATGGGCTTTAAGGTGACTGCTTTTCCCATAAGTTTTACTGCAGCCATCATAATGGCAGGAATGAATCTTCTTTACGTCTCCCTTAGATCTTCTCGTAGTATTTCGCCTCGGATGTTTTGTTTTCACTTCGGTAGCGTTGCTAGAAGGTGTGGCGTAAACGTACTTGGAATTCAGTCGATGCGTAACTCGATCTCTTTCCTGACAAGTGCTATGAGCAAGGCCTTCTTCTTTTGAATAGCTGAACAAATCTTTCTCGGTCATGATCGGTGGATTGGGTGAAGACAGTATGGTCTGTGTATCCAAACCATCGCACTCTTGATCCAAAGACACTAAAACTCTAGCGACCATCACCAGTGCAGAGGTGTGTTCGATTTGTCTCCGAGCAGGAGGAGATTTTGGCAAAAAAGATTTGGACAGATCTAGTAAACATCGAGCTGCGGCGATAGTGTCCAGTGCGGTGGAGTTCGAACCAGAAAATATATTAGCCATAGTAGAAAAACGTATGAAAAGACAAAATCCTTCGTGTGTTTGTAGTCGTTCAGAAGTCTCAGGAGATCAACGATAATATCCTTATTCTTTCCTCTTGTTGCATGCCCAGAAGGTAGAAGCGATCTTAATGGCAGATGCGTTGCATTGCGCTACTTTTTCTGTTCAATGCGAACAATAGGTTGGTTCCGTTTATAGTAGGCGTGTAAACTGATTGGACCAGTCGGCGTAATTTATGCACTCATCACCCACGTGCTGTAATATTACCGGCAAAATAAAATAAAATTTCATGTCAGCTATGTTTTTCTTGGCTAATTATTTTACCATGTAAAAAGACTTTCGTGCTATTCATCATCGACAAGTTTTCCAGTGCAAGAACAAGGCGATCACGATAACACGAAGCGGAGTCATAATACTGTTTTCATTTAAATGCATGAATTTAATGAAGTTAATTTATTCTTAACAAGCCACGCGTGAAAAAGGTAAACAAACCATTCCTAGAGGCTTCACTTTGAAACTATAATCCCCCTGAACTACAGATATGACATCAATTGAAGGATCGCCAAAGACAATTTGTGCTAGCTTTATAAATCGATTGAAGGTGATATAAATTCACGTTAAGGTAGATGTTGGTCGGTACACGGACAAGTCAAGGTAACGCCTACTTGGGGTGCCTTATTTGAGATACTAATTATTACAGGCTGAGAACTTGTTGAATGTAAACAATAGCTTCATTCAAGCATCGAAATCAAGCCACGTGCTGGCATTAGGTAACAGTTCTGTGTCCTTTTATTTCAGAAGCTATCTATTAAAATTGATAAACTTATGAAAATTACTATGGTAACGATGACTATTTTAGTAAGACAGTTTATATACTGCTCCTATTTTAGGAGTTAGGTTGTTCATTTTGCGATTTTTCGGCGAATAAATTTGTTGCATGTGAAGGTAGGGGGGCTTGGAGAGCGGTTACTGCATAGTTGATCAAGCGTAACTTCAGCGCGTGGTGTTAGGACATGCCCTAGCGAAGACAGCTGGACTGACTGTCAGTTATTATTAAATACTTCAACTTCAGGTATGAGGAAGGGGTCCATTGTTCTCTTAGTCGTTTCACTATATTTAATAGCTCCATAGCAACCACCTGTGAGAACTGATATTGCATCAGTTGAGTTCAGTCATTGTTAATTAATATAGTTCAGTAACAGGTACCTGTCTAGAGGAGGTGTGACACAGATGTTTTTTTTTTCATCTAGGGTAACAGTCAAGTGGCTTTCTTTACCATAAAATGAAAACATTTCCTGAGTGAAGTGGATCTATGGCTGCTCGCTAGTAAATACATGTATGCGGGAAATCAAATACCACAAAAATGCTAGATTTCTTAACTAATAGTCCAAATGAGCCGAGTGGAGGTGTGGTACCGACCCACTTCAGAGATTTCATTGTTATGAGCAACTAATACTTTGGATGAATAGGTTTTTGTCTAACTTAAAAATGGAAATACTTCAAGATTGCCATAAGCTGCAGGACTCGCTGTGTTTCAAACAAATGGCGTAACAACAGCTAAAAGTCTTATTTGCGCTCGTGAACTGCAACCGAAATTTTACGCATCGACTGCATTGACTACTTGAATGTTTACGTTTTGATAAAAACTTATAATTCTTGATTCGATTCCGTGTAAAGAAATCATACTAGTTATCGTCATAATCGCGAGTTAAAGGAGTTTTGATTAATAAATTTATTAATTAATATTGATTTTCGCAAATTTATGTATTTTACCACAGGGATCCCATCCCAAAGTTTCGCTAATGAAATACGAACTTTTTCCGAACGTTTTCCGAACAATTTCGGAAAGGGTTTTTTCCCTCGTGTGTTCGGGTCGCGGATTGCGAAACCGTCCACGAAAAACACACGCCATCTTGGCTGGCCACGTTATTTAGGATTTTAAAAAACTATTCCGGTTTCTACGTTTGCTCTGAAATTACGAAGAAAACATCGCTATTTTTCCTGAGAAATGGGTACAGTCGATTCTTATGGACCAGCCTCACAAACCTTAACTTTTCTAGACACAGAAGAAGCAGATTTTGGTGCCGACACTCAGGGAAGTGAATACGAGTTTCACGACTTTACCGTCCCTTCACAAACCCAAACACAGTCACAACCAACAGACGCTGAACAAAACCAAACAACTCTCTTGAATGGAGATATAATCAAGAAGAAGGAAATTGCATTGGAAGACACGAAGGATGACACTTCTAAGCTGACAAACTCTCTTGGAGAACTGAACTTCGAAGAAGACGAAGACGAAAGTTTCTTTCCCAAAGACTTACCGGCTCACGCATGCAGGTGTGTTTTTTCGAAAACTGTTGCATGAAAATTGAAAATTTCAAGTGAAGATTGTTTGATAAAGCGTAAATTAAGTGCTTTGGCTAATACTTCAAAGTTTCTTTAGCATTTTACTTTCGTAGTATTCTCCCATAATGCTTTGGAATTTTTTTGCAATCAAGCAAAAATTGTTTTGAAAAAAATTGATAGTAGCTATGTCTTTTCGTACGTTTAGATTGTTAACCAACTTTTCAGTAAGATACTCATTCTTTACTAAGTTTTTTTGAAAAGCTACATTAATATAAGCTAATTTCTCCCTAACATACCACCCCTCCCTCCAGACTCGTTAGGGGATTTCCCACCTACTGGAAACAAGTTAAGGTTACGTAAGGGAAGTGTACCGGAAAAGCTGTCTTACATATTCTTTGTTCACTTTTTTGTCTTCTATTTTGCTTGCTTTGCATCTTATTTTGCTTAAAATATTCAACATGTAACAAAGTGTAGTCTTTGGTGGTTTGCGTTGGGGGGGGAGGGGGAGAGGGGAGGGAAGGGATGGAGAGGACATGGACATCTGGAGGTACTCTCAAATCTAGTAATATACAGAATCATCATGGTTTGGAGTTGACAACATCCATTAAAACTGCTGCAAGACATCAATTCATCCAATGAAAATGCTTCAGCACACCACTATCACGATCATGTTTGTGCCATGAAACAATGAGGTATTCTTGGTAGAATATGTAGGTTACAGGTTAAAGAAATTTTCTTTTGATTTTAGCTATTGTGGCATCCATGACCCAGCTTCAGTGGTGCAGTGCATTCAGTGTAGAAAATGGTTCTGTAATGGAAGAGGGAATACTTCTGGAAGGTAAGGATAAAAATAGCCAACCTAAGCAGAAAATTTATCACATTTGATATATGGCATACACTTATCTCAAAAAACATTGTCTGTCAGAAATTTGAAATCTAAGACCAGTGTTTGCTAGCACAGGACATGGCTGGAAAGTGGTGACCTATATATTACTTTTCCCAAAATGTAAATTAAAAAGATAAAACAAATATATGTTCCTCTATATTTAAATACACAGCTTACATCCCACAATTCATTTTGGTCTCAGATTTCCAATCTTTGGCCGACATTGATTTTTGGAATATATGTTAACATTTTGATTCAAAAATGTCCTTTTTTCAATTTGCCAGTCATATTATTAACCACCTTGTAAGAGCTAAACACAAGGAGGTTACTCTGCACAAAGATGGACCCCTTGGAGAAACTGTTCTAGAATGTTACAACTGCACTTGCCGCAATGTCTTTCTTCTTGGTTTTATTCCTGCCAAAGCTGATTCTGTTGTAGTCTTGCTATGTCGGTAAGTGTTTTGTTTATTTTTTTGTTTCCCATCAAATTTACTTCACAATAAAATTCTTGTCAGAAGAAATGCAAATTAAACATCTATCAGTCAAATAGACACTCATATCAAGCATTTTTGTGTTTTTACAGACAACCATGTGCGACACAGAGCAGTCTGAAAGACATGAACTGGTAAGAAATGTTTGGATAAAATATTCAATAGATTGAATAAAATAAAAGGTCACTAGATAATTGTACATACATTTTGGTACTTTTCTATAAATAACTCACTATATATATATCTGCAGGGATCAAAGTCAGTGGCAACCTCTCATTAATGACCGTTGCTTTCTGTCGTGGCTGGTCAAAGTACCTCCAGATGAGGATCAACTCAGGGCTAGACAGGTTAGATAACCTTCCAATGTATTTACCTTCATTTATATATATATATTTGTCACAATCAAGGATGAAAGCATCCTCTAAAAGTTGAGAATCATTTTTCATTTTTTAGTCATCAACATCTAAGATCTGCTTTTAATTTGTTTCTAGATTTCTGCCCAACAAATAAACAAACTGGAAGAAGTGTGGAAGGTAAGTAATTTTATCTTTACATCAGATTCTCATTGCAGTACAGTACATGCTATTTTCACCCCTAAATCTTTAATAGAATTTGAATGATTATTTGATCAAGAAGCAGGTGTAGCTTAGTTGGTTAGTTTGTGGCCTTCAGAGCTGTAGGTCTAATTGTTTGATATATGATCAGGATCTCCATGTCTGTTTTGGCTATTTTCTAATCTATGTAGCTTCAGCTTTGAAAACTCTTAAAACAGAACTCTGATGGAGAAGGTGAAGGAACTACCGACATTAAATAGAATTACTTTACCTTTATAATTCAATACTTTTGATGTGGTTATTAGATAACTAACACTGTCTTTATCTATATCACTAATAGGACAACCCAGAAGCCAAGCTAGAAGATCTGGACAAGCCTGGGGTAGATGATGAACCTCAACAGGTCCTCTTGAGGTATATATCCTAGTCATGAAAATCATTATCCTACCCATGTAAGGGAGAGGTATCTTTAGATTAATTGTACTGTATCATTATATTGAGTGAAACCACATTGATTTCCAAGGTACGAAGATGCATACCAGTACCAAAACATCTTTGGACCTCTGGTTAAACTAGAAGCTGACTATGATAAAAGACTCAAGGAATCACAGGTAATGTCACCTCATGTTCCTAAAGATATTTTAGTGGCAAATCCAGAATGATTCTAAGGAGGCTGGCTGTTACCTAGAAAGGCATCTGATGGCATCCTTTACCCTTTATTCTTATTATTTTTTAACTCAAAATCCATGCCCTCCACATGGATCCACTTTTGTATTTAGTAATGATCATGTGTTAACTTAATTTATCCACTGTAGACGCAAGGAGATATTGTGGTTCGTTGGGATATAGGATTAAACAAGAAGAGGCTTGCATTCTTTACATTCCCCAAGACTAATGATGAGATGAGGTTGATGCCAGGTGACGAGTTACGCCTGAGGTACCTAGGTGAACTACACAAGCCATGGCAGGGTGTTGGACATGTCGTCAAGGTTCCTAACAGTATCCTTTCAATACATAAAGAGAAATATGTAAAGACTGCTATTGATCTTTATCTTTTCCATACGATTAATGATAGTCAAAAGTGCTGTCAATTGAAAAATTGATTTGCAAGCAAGTATTTTGAGAGATTGCAACAATAGTTTGGTTGTTTATTTTGTGGCTTATTATTTTTAATAAAAGTATTTCCTTGACATTTAAAAGACTTTGGTGAGGAGGTTGGTATCGAATTGCGAAGCAATGTTGGAGCCCCTGTGGAATGTACACACAACTTTGTTGTGGATTTTGTATGGAAATCGACATCATTTGACAGGTAATCCAACATTATCATAATAATATCAACTGTCTTTATACCTTTTGCATTAGAGTAGATTTTGTATTAACTGTAAACAGTGAATTAGTAACTACCCTTGTACATAATTGACAACCAATATTAAAGAGGGTAAAGAAGTATTAACCACAAAGAGTTATCTAAGAACTGTTATCTTACATGCAGCCCTAATTGCAGTTTTCAAGATTACTGCATATCCATTTGCATGGTGCATGGCAAATTCCTACTACAGGTCCTTCACAGTTTTGAGAAATCTTTTCAGTTTCTTGATGTATTTTAATCAATTCTCAATATAACTAATCTCAGGATGCAGGCTGGAATGAAGACCTTTGCAGTAGATGAGACATCTGTCAGTGGATATGTTTATCACAAGCTTCTTGGGCATGATGTCGAGGAACAAATGGTTAAATGTCAACTTCCTAAGAGGTTAGCCAAAAAGAATTAATATTTGAACCCCTACTCTATTCCTACTCTCATTCATCAAAGAATTTATTGTCACATGTAATACAGTCGTCAAACTATATTTTTAAGACTTCCTTGTAATTTCTCTTATGGTAAAAAAGAAGGATAAGATTATTTACATTGTGTTGTTTTTATGTGAAACAGGTTCTCTGCCCCTGGTTTACCAGAACTGAACCACTCCCAGGTGTATGCTGTCAAGACAGTATTGCAAAGGCCTCTTAGCCTCATTCAGGTGAATAAGATGACTCTATTTATCATTGGTGGTGATTATTTTTATCCTTGGTGCATGTGAAGAATCAGTGTTTTAATATTACTTTGTTTTTAGGGTCCCCCTGGTACAGGAAAGACTGTGACCTCTGCAACTATTGTTTATCATTTGGCCAAACAGAACAATGGGTAAGTCTGCCTATTGGTACTGTTCATGAAGTACTGTGTCTATCTTATTTACCCACTGACTAATTTCATACACATATGTGTTTTCTTTTGAACAGGCAAGTCCTGGTCTGTGCACCAAGTAATATTGCTGTTGATCAACTTACAGAGAAAATCCACAAGACAGGATTAAAGGTGAACAAAAATTTACTTTTCCCCCAACCTCAACCTCTCTATCTTTATCTTTTGACAGTAAATTCTTAGACAAGGTAGCTGGTGGGAGAATCTTATATCCTTTGTGTAAGCACAGTAAATTGACAATATACTTGTATTGTTTGTCAGGTCGTTCGTCTTTGTGCTAAGAGCCGTGAAGCCATTGATTCCCCAGTTGCTTTCCTAGCTCTCCATAATCAAGTAAGAAACAATGAAAGTGTTCCTGAACTACAAAAGCTTCAGCAACTCAAGGATGAACTGGGAGAACTGTCAGCCACTGATGAGAAGCGATATCGATCTCTAAAGAGGAACTGTGAAAGAGAGCTCCTTCAGGTGAGCAGGCAACTTAGAGTATTTGAATTTCTAAATGGAAGGGCTAAAAAAGCTATATCTTGGGGATTTTTTTATGCTGTATAGCCAGTTTAAGTGGTTGGAATAATATATGTTTTGTGTTTGTTTCCCAGAATGCTGATGTGATTTGTACTACCTGTGTTGGTGCTGGTGATCCAAGACTGTCCAAGTTCCGTTTCAGGACAGTTCTAATTGATGAGTCCACACAGGCTACTGAACCAGAGTGCATGGTACCAGTCGTACTTGGTTGCAAACAGGTGACTTTTTAGCTTCTTTCTTCATCCTTTTTGAGCATAGTTGACATACTAAAGGTTTTTGAGCCATTTGTTTAAAAAAGCCTCTCAATTTTAATGAGCACCGATTTTCTAAATTCCTTGTTTATCTTTTACAGCTCATTCTTGTTGGTGATCACTGTCAGCTTGGTCCTGTTGTGATGTGCAAGAAAGCAGCCAAGTAAGCATGTTTATGTATTTTCTTCCTTACAGAGTCTTTGTAAATGTAGTGGTAGTGTATGTGGATTATGGAAGAGCCCCCTAAAGGGATTGATGGTATAAAATATTACAATATGTTTTTATTAATTAATTCATTGATATTAATTTTATTTATTCATTAATTTTTCATCAGTGCTGGACTGTCACAGTCATTGTTTGAGAGGCTTGTTGTGTTAGGTATTAGACCCATACGTCTGCAAGTCCAGTACCGTATGCACCCAGTCCTTAGTGAGTTTCCATCCAATCTCTTCTATGATGGAACACTTCAAAATGGAGTTACTATCGGTAAGTATGATCTGTATAATAGTATTTAACAATTATTCGCCAAAGGCGAAGTGAATAACGGGAAATATTTACTGAGACGCAAGTCTTTGAGCGGCGAGGTTAATATTCTCTGATATTCACTGAGGCTGAGGCAGATAATCGTCTTAGTATAAATACACAGGTGATTCTCTCAAAAAGAAAAAAGAAAATAAATAAAATAAAAGACATATTTTCCCGGTAACAGCAATAATAAGCCGCTGGCCACCATTTTGGATTATTGCTGGAGGTGATTATCGTGTGATAGTGTGAGTTTATCAACCAATCAGCGCGTGAGATTTACAATAATCACCTGTGTAATTTTACTAAAATATGATACAAGCTTGTTATATCAAAATACAGTAACAATATTATGGTCATGTTTTGTTTACAGCTGAAAGACTTCAGACTGGTGTTGATTTCCCTTGGCCTGTCCCAGACAAACCAATGTTCTTCTACGCAACGATGGGACAGGAAGAGATTGCTTCATCAGGAACATCATATCTCAATAGGTACATGTGCTAACTTACCACTATGCTCATGCAAACAACTTATAGCTAATCCAAGTACTTATCAAGACAAATTAGCAGTACACTCCCTTCACACCAGTTTTTGGGGTTTTTCAAGGTTTTTCTCCAGGTTCTTCAGTTTTCCTCACTTCAATCTCTAAGTTAGCCAAACTCTAACTTATAGGTGCCAAAAGGTTTTTATAACAGCCAAACCTTGAATGATTAAACAATAGGGTTATATAGATTATTATTTGTTGAACAGAACTGAGGCTGCAAATGTAGAGAAGATTGTCACAAGATTCTTAAGAGCCGGTATAAAACCAGAACAGATTGGTGTGATCACACCCTATGAAGGACAGAGAGCATACCTTGTACAGTATATGCAGTTTAGTGGATCACTTCATGCTAATCTATACATGGTAAGACTCTACTATTACTCAGTTTTATTTTAGTTTCAAGATGCTAATAGACCAAATGCAAAACTTGCACCATTATAAGGCTTAAGTTGTGAACAAAGGGATCTGGAATGATTCATGACTTTTGAATCACACCAGATTGCTTTGAATCACGCCAGATCCCTTTGTTCACAACTTAGCCTTCACATCGGTGCGAGTTTTGCATTTGGTCTATACCTTGAAAGTCTTATGTTAATGTTATGTTGTATAAAACTTGTGACATAATAAAAGTGGGAGTGCCTTTGTTTTGAATGATATAGCCATTCCATGCCTTATGGTATAATATAGCGTACATGCTGTAAGCTTCTTACTCACATGAAAACCACACTATTTTATTCCCCAGGAAGTAGAAGTGGCAAGTGTGGATGCTTTCCAAGGCAGGGAAAAAGATTACATCATTTTATCATGTGTGCGTTCTAATGAGCATCAGGTAATCACAATCATGTAGTGCTGAAAAAAAATATCTTTGTCAGATTATTGCCTTTGTGAGGTTTCTAATATCTCAATATTTCTCTTTGCAGGGTATTGGTTTTCTTAATGATCCACGTCGTTTGAATGTGGCATTGACAAGAGCTAAGTAAGAATCATTTGCAACATGTACATATTTTGAATTTTAGTCACCAGATTTTCTGTTGGATCTAATTGTATCATTAACATTTCTAGGTATGGAATCATTCTCATTGGAAACCCCAAAATTCTATCCAAGGTTTGTTGATATAATGCCACCAGATTTTTGTCTTCTGATGTGTAGTCCCAGAAATTATCCATACCCACCCCACAGAGGAGTTAGGAATTTCCGAAGAGTAGGGGGGTCAGAGAAAGAACAAAAATTACAGAGTTTGTATGGAAGAAAATTGGATTTTCTGGGGGGTAGGGGGGTGTCTTAAAAAAATTCCTCCATGGGGGGTATGGATAATTTTTGGGACTACACAATAATGAAATTGAACGTGTAATAATAACATGATTGAAGGTCTTTAAAAATTTGAAACACATTTTTCCTAATTCTATATATATATATTTATTTTATTTTGTAATCCAGCAACCACTGTGGAACCATCTACTGAACTACTATAAAGAAAACAAAGCCCTTGTGGAAGGTCCTCTGAATAACTTGAAGGAAAGTGTGATACAGTTCAGCAAGCCTAGAAAACTGGTCAACAGAACTAATCCTGTAAGTTATACTACATGTATAAATAAATGTCTCGGCTTTACTACTTTTCTTGGTGTTACACAATCACACTATGATTTTTACTTGATTATTCCCAGGGAGGACGATTCATGACAACTACCATGTTTGATGCCCGTGAGGCTCTTATACCAGGAGGAGTATATGACAGGCAGATGCCCAGGATGGATCATAATGCCTTCCATGACCAATATTACCGTACCCATGACCGTTTAGGATACATTGGTGCTGAGAGGGCCATCTCACCTGCTGCTGCTGCTAGTATTCCTGTTCCTGTCGGCATGTTTATTCCACCTGTCCCATCTCCTCACCACTCCTTCTTTGGACAGGTATGAACAAGCCACTGCTGCGAATCATAGCCTGATTGCATTGCTTTTAGTTTGACCCTGTTAAGCAGTGCCACTGCTGTACTTGCAGTGGTGGTTAAACTCAAGTTTTTTCAGTAGACTCAGATCTGCTTTATCTTCTCTCTCAGATGTCAGGAAGGATGCCACATGGCCGTGTTCCTCAACAACAAAGACCCAGAGGGCAGCGTCAGCAGCAAGGTGTTCCATACCCAGTGCATATACCTGCTAGCCAAGCCAGTCAGGTTTGTATTCCTTTATTTGTTTTTATCGATAGTGAATTCCTTTATGTTATATTAAATGTATCCTTTTTCCTCTGTGTACAGGATGCCTCCCAGCCTCTGTCTCAAGGTCCTCTGACCCAGGGTGGTATGTCAGCTATCAGTCAGCCTTTGGCCTCGCAGCCCTTATCCCAGCCAGATCTCTCACAGGTAATATTCTTTAGCTTTAAAACACTGTACATTTTTGTCATGTTCTTGATACTAACATGATGTACGTTGCTATTTCAGGATAGTTATCTGGGGGATGACTTCAACCTCAAGTCCCAGGCAGATGCTGTTCTTTCTCAAGACTCCACGTACCAAGGAGATAGAGGAGGATATCTGAACTCTCAACCAGATTATGCCTCTCAACCAAACTATGCCTCCCAGTATTGAATCTGCTACTTGAAAAGCAGCAGTAAGGTGGCTCACTACCATCAGAGTGACCTTACCCATGACAACCTCCCGGTTGTGTCATGGTAACAAGAATGCTGCAGTGTTTCCATCAGCATGTCTCCATAACAATTCCTGGAAATGACAATGATGTGGTAAAGTTGACACAAGTTGTCTTGTGTTGTACTTGACCACTAAATGGAATGCTATCTTATCAGACAGACAGGCAAATAACAACAATAATAGCAATGAAGCAATAACTGTCAGTAACAAGGCTTGAACATGTACCTTTAAAACTAAAATGGGCACTTATTTGAACAGTACTCAACCTCTGTACGTTCATGATAAAGAATACTTGAAGCTCATAAAGTGTCCATTTATGATCATGCTACAGATATCATCAGTTAGTTCAAAGGTGCATATTTGAAATAAGTAGAATAATCAGCACACTTTCAGTCAATGTGCTTTGCCTTTTCTTACCAAGTTTGTTAGAAAATTGATGTGTTTGTATGCAAAGTGCTCTGCTTCCCAACCTTTTATAGTTAGGATTTGTGATGACCACAAGTTCAAATTTTAAGTTGATTATAACTGCTTCACAATCAAGCCATGAACAATGATAGATAGCTGAGTGTCAATTTGGAAAGAGGTCAAATGGATATTGTTTTTGGAGTTAAACTTAACTCTACCAGATGCCTACTTCATCAATGTACTCAATAACATTTTTACTTTATATGTTTTACACGGTCACATGAAGGCAGCCATGTTGGATGATGTTCTGCCCACCAACATGGCAGTTGTCATGGAATTTTGTAAAACCTCGTCTCTCTTTACTACAGAGGTTACAGATCTCACCATTAGACAAACAACAATACAGTACTCTATAAATGCGAATAACATTTAATGATCAATAATAATATAATTTCTCTGCTTGAAACACCTTGTTTGCCAAGATGTTGTATGCAGGGTTTTCTCACTTGCATAATATCTGCTTCACTGCAAACATGTATCCCTACTCACATCGCTGACGGTTTCTTAGTTAACTCACTAATGCATAATAGTTATTAATGCTGTAAAATATGGATAGAATCATCATTTCTTGGAAGATGCTGGTAGTTTGGATAGGAAAACAAGTTACCATTGGACACATTTTCATTATTAGATAGATTAACTAGTTACAAATCCAAATCTGTCAAAATGATCCCAACTGACTTAGGTCAGCCCCAAATTTGTTTCAGGATTAAATAAAATTCGATTTGGTTTTGACAGCACAGGTCACAAAAGTATGGCCACATTTACATGCTTTATCTGGTAAAACCAACCAGCTTTGCATCCAAATGTGTCAGCTTAACTTACAAAATATTGCTGGTCATACTTTTGTACGTCGTGCTAAGTAACGATAGTCTAAAATAAGTATATTGACAGATTTAAAAACACCAAATACATCTGGCCGTGGTTAATTTTTCACTTCTGCTGCATCAAAAAGAAAGATTCATGTACTTACTAAAAACGAAATGCACCACTGGTAATAATAATTGAAAGAGTAATAAACCTACAGTTCCTTCATTGTTTTTTCATCTAGTCTAATCTTATTTGTAATCCTCAGCTTTTCAAATGAATAAATTAAAATTAACATCATTACTCAAGTGTTTTTGAATCTTTTCAGGTTATCTCCCACGGAAATTAATTTATGCTGCTCATTTGTTATATCTATTGTGACTCCTTCAGGCTAAAGATTCTGGAGATACTAAGGCAACATTTTCTTGCTTGCAATCAACAGTGTGGAGTCCTATTCATATTTCAAAACAATGTTATCTTGAATCTCCATTGTATCTATTCTCTGGTCAGAAGGGGGTTCAAGATGGTGGAATTCCGTCTTTAGCTTAACTAGAGTACAAACACTAAAAGTGTGCAACACTTTGCACTATTTAGTAGTAAATAGTGCTAATTAAACAATAGAAAACAATAGGATTAGCATAATTTAGCAGTATTTAGTGGTATTTATGTTACACACTTATAGCGCTTGTCCTCTAATATATAATTTATGTTTATGTTCATGTTTCTTCACTCCAGGCATCTCCATGCCAACAATGTCAGCCCAACTGAATTTTTGAGTTTACAGAAGTAAAAAAATTTAATACCTAGACACTTTGACGAATTATGTAATGTAAATGATGGGCCAAAAATCAGGATTGCACCACCCGCAAAACAATGAAGCAAAAAGTATACAGTCCACATACTTATGTTTTCAAAAAGGTCTTCAATTTTTAAACATTTGTAACACATTTTGGCATGCCGTTCATTCAAAAATCAGAGGTACTTTTTTTCAATTAAATTATTTACAAAGAGAAAATATATAAATCATACAAAGCTTTGTCATTTTGATAAATGCTACATTAGATGTAAAGATCAAACAAATCTATACAATCTTCACTTGTTAAAATTCTACTTTCTATATAAATTATTTTAAATCTTTTTCTCGTATCACATTTACATCATGTATGAATCCATAAATACTAAATGCCAAGAATTTTTTTGGACTGCAAAAGTCCAAAATTTTCTGATTTAAAACCATTATTATCAAAGGCTTGCTACTAAGCAATTCGCTGAATTTTATGACAATTTATTTGTCTATGCAGTGCTTTTTCATTGGTTAGGAAGCTTGTTAAGTTTGTGTTCTGTCTACCCAAGCTAGACCATAATGCACCTTGTCTGTCTAATGCTGGCTGTGTATTTTCATCCCCATCTGTAGAAAGTGAGTGAGGCTCATGAACAAAGTATTTCTCAGAGTGCCTTCTTTTTAAAACATGAAGAACAAAACCCTTTTTGATCTGGCCTCCCACAAAAACTACACCCTTCACTCAAGCACCTGCTACTACCAGCTTTTGCATTACTTTGACATGCTTGTGCATAAGAGGGTGGTGCTGGCGTTCCTTTAGGAGTACTTAAAGGAGTGTTTCTAGTTGACGTCACTTCTTTAGAATAGTTATTAATAGAGTTGGGATAATCAAGGTATGTTGATATTGGAGGAAGATAGGACTTGAAGGTTGATTTCCCTTCACCTTGGGCTTCATTACCTGAAGACTTTTTGTAAAGCGCAGCTTCTGAAGCACTTTTCTGAGTTCTGTAACACCCAGAGCATAGATAGTTAGTATCAGCTCTACCATACAACTGACACCCTGGTGTGGGACATTGATAAGAGCCAGACTGACTGCTTCCTTGCTCAGACTTCTTGGCTTCATGAGTTTTCTTTCTTTCTTCAAACCTTTTCTTTGCTGACTCGATATAATTATTGATCATTTCATCATAGTATTCTGGCTTCTGATCTGTCTTCAGCTTGGCAGCACACAAAGTGTTAGAATCCCAAGTTCCTTTGATTTTTCCAGCAAGATTTCCAACCTTGTTGAACCACGAATTAATTCCCTTATCTCCTTCCTTGACTGCCTCCTTCTTCTTTTCATTTGTTTGGGAGCCCTTTTGAGGCTGCTGAGCATCTACTTTTCCTTGGTTTGCTGCCTTAGCACTGTTTGGTATTTTAATGTTAACTATGTCTAAATATTTTCCTAGTAACTCAAGTTTCTTTTCAGCACTTAATACCAACTTTGATGGCAACTCAGTCTCCTTATCTAAAGTTGACCATTCAAAGTTTTCACCAGGATCCACAGAAAAGTGAATTGGAAGCAACTGATAGTCATGATTGACTACTGGAATAGCAGCAACAACACTCTCTTGTTTGGCTTTTCCTTCGGAGGCAACTACTGCAGAAAAATGTGCAGATTCAAAGGCTAGAATGAGTGGCGTTTTGAGACATGTTTGCGGAGGACACTCACAAGGAAGGAATATGCCTCCAAAAGGAATAGGTGCAATAGGATCCCCACTGAAGTCTCTTAGGTATTTGTCAGCAATTATGATAATTGGGCGACGTAGAACATGTGCAAGAACAAATACATGGATTTCTTCAAGGCTTTCAAAAGCCCCTTCACTTTCTTCTTCATTCTCGTCATGAAGTTTTATCTCTTCCTTTTTATCCTCTGCATCTTCTTTAGTCTTGACTTCAGTACATTCAGCGACATCACACTTGTTCAGAGTCTTTTCTTTATCCTCAGTAAATGGCTGAGGTGTTGGATGAGGTAAATGTTCTTTGGCTGGTTCTCCTGATTTATTCACACTAACTGGTTGTACCTTTTCACCTCCCTCGTCAATTGATGGAAGGGATTGGTGGTTATTTAGTTTTGGATTTTGGTTCAGCTTTTTTCTGTTAGTAGAAGCAAGTCGTAGAACTTCTTCCCATTCTTTTTCCCACTCATCATCAGTGTAAACCAAACCACCAGCTTCCATATTTCTCTGATACTGTTCCAATTTCCAGCGCCGTTTGATTGCTCTGCTTGCTGATTCACAAATGAGAGTATTAAAGAGAGCTTTCCGTAGTGTGAGCAGGCGATCATGGAATCCCCACATCCCTAATGATGCTGCATGCAAGAGACAATTACCATCACCAACAGTGGCAAGTGGGACAAGACGTTGGCAGATCCCAATATCAGACCACCAGTTGAGGTGACCTACAAATAAACAACAAGTTAGATCGTAAAGGTTTTTGTAGGTTGGATTCATATTATGAAACTAAAATTGACTCATCAACCTTTAGTTAGATATAATGCTCTTTATTCAAATTAATTGCTCTTTTATATAGGGATAACCTTAGATAACAATAATACCGCCAAGTAATATAATTTGGTTTAATGACTCGTTTCTAGTCACACAACACAATAAAACAATGAATAATTAAAGTAGTAAGCTTCTAATACACAAGTAGAAGTGAAAGTGAATATGCAAATTGAATGAATCAGATATTCAAAATGCCAAACGAATGTGGTCGAAAAGAGAATAGTTTTTAAGTTAAAGTATTTCATTAAATTACCTGACTGTTCCAGGGCAACTAACGCTGACGTTTCAATCAGGTCTTCTCTCAAAAAGTCTGCAAAATCCTTGGGATAAGAAGATATGTCTGGTAACACGAAAGTGAAGCGAGCCATTTCCTCAATGCCCTCGTTTTGTCCATCTTTAACATGGCTATCTCTTGTTAGTACTTTAATTCTTGCCTTTTGTACGATATCAGAGTTCACAACAGATATTCCTCTTTGAGGTTTGGTCAGCTTTTGTTTCAGCTGCGGACTCGTTTCTTTATTTGATGCTCCCAGAGAAAATTCTTGAAACGATTTCAACGCTTCGTCGAAGTTCCATTCTTTTCCTTCAAGGAGATCTCTGGCGAAAGAAGGATCACATCCGGTCTTATCCACGAATTGACTCAGAGTTGTATCCATTGAGTGGTGTAGGAAATATCAAAATTAAAATAAAGATTCAATGAACCACTTTTTACGCTGTTCATTCTTTTCTTTCGATTACACTGGAGCCTGGTAACTAACCGCAAACTGGGTTGAACACAGGAAACCCAAACAATTTTAGAAAAACATTTTTGAAGACGAATGAAAAATAAAGTAATTATATATTTACTAGGTTGCTCATACTTGATCCGTGTAACATTACTTGATTTACTTGGCACTTAATTAATAGTACAAAATAGTTCAATGCCTAATGTTTTCCGTTGCTTAATAAATACTTTTAGCACTAATTAAAACCAATTATTTAATATACATCATACTTATCGATAGATCTAGAAAGAGCGCTAGAGATAAAAGAAATGCAGAAACTTTATTATCTTTTTTTATTTACCTTTTAATCGTGTGTTGATACTAATAATGGGTGCCCTGTGGATCAACCGACAGGGTTGGCTTGGGTACTAAGACTCATCCCAGTCCCCAGCGGTCAAGATATTTTTCTTTTTATTTACAAAAAGACAACTTACAGTATTTTAACAAATTTATATATCTAAATTATTATGAACTAATGAACCCAGAGTGAGGGTATATTTATTTGCGCACCAGTTGTTATTTTTGAAAGATGAAAAAAATCGCATGAACAAGTTGTCATGGAGAGACGTTGAAGGTTGTTAGTGTAAACAGTAATGGCGGGAAGCGGTCTGAGGGAAACGCTTCAACACTACTCACTGGAAAAATATTATAACACCTTTACTTCTGTTGGTATCGATGATATTGGTGGTCTGCTGGCGCTAACCATGCAGGATTATCCTGCTCTTGGGATAACATCGATGCAGGACAGAAGAAAAATGTTTCATCTTATTCAAAATGTCAAAGACAAGAGTAGCATTAATAGAAAAGATACTGATGTTGTATCAAATGAAAGCAGTTCTGCAGGTGAGAACGAAGCTAGCGAAAACCAAAATGATGAGTTATTTATTTGTATAATTATTTGAGAAAATATAAAGTACCCCTATTTTTATTCTTTCTTTCTTCCTTTTTTTAAATCTTTCATTCTTCCTTTTTTTCACTTTCATTCTAATTCATTTCCATTGCTCTTACGAACGAATATCCCTACCCCCAGAGGAAGGGTGATAAAAATCCCTTGCACCTATGCAAAGAATGTACCATCCATATATAAACCCTCTCACACCCCACCCCTTTGAGTACCACTCCCAGATGGGAGGTACAGATATTTTTTTAAACCATACAGCATACTCAAGACAATCTCTATTCATTAAAAACTTTGATCTTTTTTAAGGTTTTCTTTAGTAAACAATTTATATACTTGATATTAAACTTTAGGACAACAAAGTGTAACAAAGAAACCAAAGGAACAAGAAATAAAATCAAGAAAAGAATCTCAGCCATTGAGACCAGAATCAACCCATCCTAGGTTGGTAATTTTTCGTAAAAGTGGGTGGCTTAATTAGCCAGTAAAATTAAAGGGGTGGTTCAAGACAGAGTTCAGGTAGCTAGAGGTAGAGTGCACGCACTAAAACCGTGAAGATTAAATAGACTACTAATTAGTACTATTTCATACAGAATCCTTTGTTTTCTATTGTTTAATTATCACTATTTAGTGCTAGAAATTAGTATTTGTTTCACGGATTTAGTGTTAGCACTCTAATGATGATCATACTAAATTCCAAACTTTTTATGATTTTTATAGCTTGTTGGACATTTTCTTCAATATGTATTTATTATTTACTTTGATTCTTCTTATTCAGCGGTACAATTCTTAGGGAATATACCACACATGATTTTAGTTATGGCATTCCTTCCAGCAAGGTAAAACCAAAAACACCATCCAGACCAAGGGCCAATAGCGAAAACTCTAAAATCAAAGTTTGTGTGAGGAAGAGACCTCTTGGTGGTGAAGAGGTCGAGTCTGGGGAAACTGATGTTGTTGACACAGTACCCAGTAAAAGCATGGTCGTTATCAGTGCACCAAAGGTTGCTGTAGATCTTACTAAATATATACAGAAGGTAAAAAGAAAGTATTGGATAATGAACTAAATATTTGTTCTACTATATGCTATTATCATTTTAATCTTTGTAAAGTCATTTGTGTAATAGGCCCTTTGCAGCTAAGCAATCATGTGCTGATTAATTCACTGAGAGCAAATGAAT